AACTGAAAGTAAGAGGAAGTTTCCTTATTTCTCATGCCATTTGCTCCCATTTTATCTTGGTGTGAAAAGTCCTTCATGGCTGATCTCCTTTGGATTTAAAAGACCAATAATCCTTGTCCTTTTTAGGTAGAAATTTCGTGGCTTTATGAAGATAACAAAGGGAAATCAAGCTTTTGATATTTGTGATGAAAATGCCAAACACAGCACTATTCATTCAATGACTTTTGTTTGTGATTTATGTTCCTTTACATCAAAAGTGATTATGCTTTTGTTTTATGAAAGAAAAGGCTTTATTCTTTGTTGAAATTCAGGGAATAATTTCAGCCTTGTACCCAAGCTTAGGAAATGCAAATAGGAATTGAAAAACTTCGGGACTTCAAAGTTCAGAGATGTAATAATCGATTAGCATCTCTGGATAATCGATTCACAGGATTTGGTTTCAATGACAATCGATTATCAAGGACTTGCTCAAAGCTGGGTACTTTCAAAGAGCAGAGATAATCGATTATGACTTGTAAGATAATCGATTATTGTGAGGTTGCTAGTTTTGTGTATAGTCGATTAGAGAGCTATAATAGTCGATTATCAGTTGTGTATAATCGATTATTCGGGCATCTCAGGAGCAGGATTGGAAGAGAAAAAAAAGGCATTATTTTTAGGAAAATGATTTGAAAATAAACAAACAAAGGTTTTGGCTTTAATTTTCTTATCATCTTGATGGAAAAGACTTTATTTTTGATAAAAGAAAAGAAATAAAACTTTTGGATATGTTGGGAGAGTTGGGACTTTGGTGGAGCCATCCAGGGGTACATCAACCAGGCATTCGCTGGTGGGCTGACTGCTGAGTTAAAAACTTGGCCTTTGGTCTGTTGGTGGGTTGTGCGGTGTGTATGAAGTTTGCGATGCGTAATTGTGTGTGAGATGTATTTGGTTTTCATGGTTAGGTTTGATCCTTGCTGTAGCAGCGAAAACTTGCCGTGAAAGCCTTTTCAATTTGGTGGGTTCCGCCATTGTCTGCAATGGTTTCCTTTGTTCTGTACCCTTTCGGTGGCATCCTTACGTTCCAACTGCTGAGTTCTGTCGTGTGCCTGCTCGTGTGGGAACCAAAGGGTTGGCATTCGATTGACGCCATGGCACCGCTTGTGGTACACTATCTGTTGTCTCTTTTCCGGAAAGTTTTGGCCCATTGGTTGTTGTTGAGTACTCGGGTTTGGTGCACTAACGGGGACTGGTTAAGAATTCTCTGTTAGCCTAAGTCTGCCCATAAAGTATTTTGTTCCAGGGTTCCCTGGTTCATTATTGGCTTCACCTTCACTTCTGTGATTGTGTTTCCCTCCGTATGACCGCCCATGATGTGTTGGGTTCGCTTTCGGTTTTGGCGTGTCAAGGTGCATTGAGGAATGATACCTGGTTGATCCTGCCAGTAGTCATATGCTTGTCTCAAAGGTTAAGCCATGCATGTGTAAGTATGAACAAATTCAGACTGTGAAACTGCGAATGGCTCATTAAATCAGTAATAGTTTGTTTGATGGTACCTACTACTCGGATAACCGTAGTAAATCTAGAGCTAATACGTGCAACAAGTCCCAACTCTTGGAAGGGATGCATTTATTAGATAAAAGGTCAATGCGGGTTTTTCCCGTTTTTACGATGATTCATGATAACTTGACGGATCGCAAGGCCATAGTGCTGGCGACGCATCATTCAAATTTCTGCCCTA